TGGCAGAAGGGTTACAGTTTGATTAATCAAAGTTCACCACATCATAATATTACACTGGGAAGGTAGATGATTTGCAGCAGCAGTTACATTTTGACACGCTGAGCTGCATCACACAATGTGATGAAGTTTTGATGTAGCATAATGATGATTAACACAGCAATGTTGCCATGACTGATTTTTTTCTGCTACTAGAACATTCTGTAAAGCTGACTTCCCTAATGAAAACACCTCTGTCAAATTCCTACTCTCAAATGACTAATCAGCCTTGAACTACTATAGTTGTTAATCATACAGGAAGGATTGAATATCTTTGCAAAGATGCAAATATGGGCACCTGGAAGAAGTCTCGTGAACTCTTCACAGATGGCACATAGAGGAATAGCTATACTAAGCAGATACATGAGGTATGGGAAAATGGGATGGGTGGCATCTGGCACCATGAGAGGAAGACTCCTTCCTTCCTGAGGATTTGGCATACTTCAGAATGGCATGCCTTTGACAGCCAGCCTTAATTGCAGTACTTGTGGACTTAAGTTGTGGCGGAAAAAAATAAGCTGTGGTGGAAAAAGTGTCTCCCTCAGGGCTGCATTTTATAGCATACTCTTTTAGTTTCATTGGAAGATAATGTTTGCTTTGCTCAGGAACAACATGTAATAGCTGCAACTTTTGCAAACAAATGACAGAAGAAACTATACTTGCTTTATCAGTTTACTATCCTGCATAAAATGTAAATTTCTAGGTTGTTAGGAAAGAAAAACATTGTACCTTAAATATTAAAAAGCAATATAACATATACTTTGTCATGGCAAGTTCAAAAGTGGTATCCCTTAAATATTTCAGGATTCAATGGCTAAACTACATCCACTGAAGGGCACCATCAGGGTACAGTGGAGATAATGGTCTGAATTTATCATTGATATAACACCGTTATTTATGGAGGAATTGATATATTGTTTCGCTGAGAGCTGCATCATACTGTACCATCAGATTCAGGCAAAAGCTTCCCATTGACTTGGATGGGAGCCACATATATTCAATCCAAGAATCTAAGAAACTTATCAGGACTGTGTGTGATGTGTCTATAATCCTTTGGGAGGTAGTTACACTTTTTTAGTTACAGCAGAGGAAGGTTCCCAATTGGTACAAATTAATATAACCTCAAAGAAGTCCACTGAAATTCTCTTTGGGAACTCCTGGAGTTGGATGAATTCCTGGTCAGGGAGAAAAAGGCAAACATGGTGCCTATCTTTAAGAATGGAAAGGAGAAGGATCCAGGGAATTATGACACCTCAATCTGACCTTAGTGCCTGGAAAAATTATGGAGCATGTCATCAAGCACTGAGAGGATACCAAAATGACCAGGAACAGCCAACATGGAGTTATCAAGAGCATACCATCCTTGACCAACCTGATTTCTTTTTATAACAAGGTAATGGGTGGAGAGGAACAGATGTGATCATCTCAATTTCAGCAAGGCATTTGATGCCATCTCTCATGATAATATCATCAGTAAACTAAGGAACTACAGTTTGGATGAAAGTACTGTAATGTGGATGCATAACTAATTGGATCATCATGATCAAAGAATAATTATCGATTGCTCAATGTCTAATTGGGAGGAGATATTGAATTGGAGTCCCCAGGCATCTGTCCTGGGAATGAAGTACTGCTTATTATTTTCATTAATGATTTGGATGATAGGATTGAGTGTAGGCTTAGTATATTTGCATATACTGGGTGGAATTTAGACCCTCTGGAGGACAGGAGTAGGATTCATCTTGATAAATGAGAGCTTGGTTAAAAGTTAATTGAATGAAATTCAGTAGGGACAAGTATGAAGTCTTGCACTTAGGATGGAACAACCATACCCAAAAATACAGATTAGGGGACAACTAGCTAGTCTGCATTACTACAGAAAAGGACCTGGGGGATATAATAGACCATAAGCCAATAGGAGTCAACAGTATACTTTTGTTGCACAAAAAGCCAATGGCATACTAGGTTATATTAACAGGACTGCTGCCTGCAAGTCTATGAAACAAATGTGTCTACTCTTGAGGACCTCTTGATGTTCCTTCCTGCTCTATTTTTCTATGATGATTTGGGGAAGCTGAGAATCTGGTCTAGAAAGTTAGTAAGAAAACAAAGAATTGGAGAGGCACAGCAGTCACTTTCAACAGCATTGTAGATTAATCCCATACTTACATCCTGATTAGACATCTCCCAATATGGTCTCTCTCCATAGGACATCACTTCCCACATGACAATACCATAGCTCCATGCATCACTTGCTGAAGAGAATTTCCTATAAGCTATTGCTTCAGGTGCTGTCCACCGTATGGGGATTTTTCCACCCTGGAAAACAAGTTGGAAATTCCTCAGTATGACTAGAATAAAGAACTTTAAGTGCATAAAAAGCTGTAGATTCAACCTTCTGCTGTCTGTGAAACAGACTGACAATTACAAATTTGCCTTGGCAATTTACTGTAAATGGAAAGGAAGAAATATGGTTTATTCACATCCTGACAGAAATTCAGCTTGTTTTTTTTTTTTTTTGCACTTATTCACCAAAACATCCCTGTTTGAAAAAACGTTGGACTTCAAAGAGCAAAAATCATTTTTAGTAATTAGAATTCATTCATATTCTTTCAGATTCACTTAATTAATCAATTGATCAATCAGGACATGTCTTTTGATTTGAAAATGTCCCCAACATGAAAGTCCTAATAAGCTGACATTTTAAACCGAAGCCCCCACTGAAACAGGAAAGCAGTGTTCACTGTAGACATAGAAGACAAAAGGCACTTTATAAAATGTATTAAATAGAAAGAAAATGATTTCCTTTACATTCTCCTTTCTCTGTGATAATTTCTTTTTCTTTTAATCTCTTCCTTTAAATCCCTAGATACTGTGCAAATCAAATGCATCTAGAATAGACTTTTCCTCAGGGAATTGGATAGTTTTGTTCTGCAGCTTTCAAGTTAAAATCCAAGTTCTACTGTAAAAAAGGCATTTGTAAGAATTCAGTGAACATAGTTGAGTTACCTCTTTTGAAGAGGCTTTCTGTATGGTATTAATGCCTTTCCACAATATAATCAGTTATATTTTACCTCCAAAGTTTGTATCAGAGAAATTCTTTTGGCTGTGTAAAAGTAAAACGATTTTTTTCCTGCTGCCGTCTTCCACAGAAAAGGATGTGTTGTTTTTGCTGCTTATTCTAGCTTTTTTCTCTTAAAATAATTCAGCTTACTGATTCAGAGCAGTGAGATCATAGTGCCACTAGATGGTAGAATGAGACAGTCAGCTGAGCTGCGAAAACTAAGAATATATTTTTTCAGTGGACAGATAACGAATCCGTTTGGTACAACTATTACATTCCTGGCAGAGAGAAAAGAAGAAATAAACTGGAACATAACTATACGAGTTGAAAAAGTCAAGTAGTTAAAAAATAGAGGCAAATTTGTGTCCTTAACTCACTTTGAAATAGGTGAATTTTTTTTCCATATCTCATCAAGGTGATGTGAATTTGAAATGCCATAGCTACATCAGAAAGTGTTGCAAGGAAAAAAAAATATCGATTTGGGTACTGTACTTTAATGTTATCTTAGCACATACCTTTATTAACTGGAGCCATTAGGGCCAGCAAGGACAGAAAGTTAATATCTTTATGGTTTATAAATGACTGTGGTCAATATGTCCTTCATGGGATACAAAAGATATAAGTATAAATATAAATCGTCTGTATTTATTTCCTGTTTTCTAAAAAGCCTTTGCCTGTTCAGATTTGGCTTGACTATCTCCACTGAAATCAAAGGCAAAATTCCAATTTGCTTTTAGAGAAGCAGAGTTAGCCCAAAGATAAATTGCTTTTTGAAAATACCATCCTTAATTTGCTCTATTTATAGCTATATTGGGCACGTACCTATGCTGCAACAGAATCTCTTCTGGGAAGGGATTATATGCCTTCATTGCAGGCAAGTGGAGAGAAGCCAGAACTATGGCTTTGTCTCATCCTTGCCCTGTTCAGCGGGATTTGAGACAACGTGGGAGGCTAGAAGTAATTTTCTTCTGGTCCTTGCAAGGGCTGAGCAAAGGGTTTTCTCCAACCACTTCATAGGATCAGTGCTTTTCAGATCCCTGACTTCATACCACACAGAAACCTAGGATGACCTTATCTCTTGTTTTCCCTTAGACATTCCTGTCCTGGGCATCCTGTTTATTTGGTCAAATTCATATTTTTGTCTTCTTTCAGTGTGACACCCAGAAAAGATGTTTAAAACAGGACTTTCTCAGTGAAAACAGGACTGTTTCACCCCCAAATCTCTGGCTCTATTCCTCCCATCTTTCACTCCACAACATGCTCAGCTGAAACTGGAGGTTAGAGATAACTGAGTTATCAGAAAGTGGGGTATTCTCTTTTGAGACAAGGGAGAGCCCCCCACACAGAAGGTCCATTAAAGAAGTTAACACATTTGGGAACTGAATGAGATACAATGCAGGGTATCCCATGCCTACCTGAATAAAAGCTACATAATGTAAGGGATTTGATCAGGGTTCCAGGAAAACTATGCTAAAACAGGCAGAGGTTATCACAAAGCATGAAACTTTGCATAGAGGGTGGTAGCCCTATATAAGGCTTTTTGTACCTGTCTGGCAGCTGTCACCTCTGAGGGTAAGAAGTCTCATCATTTTGTCAGGATAGCCAATTATGTGAAGGAAGATTGGTAGGACAGGAAACAGTTTATGAACAGTTTAATGGGATTACAGTCTGACAGTCCAACTGGATGCTAGGCTCAGAGCTTCAGGTATTGTGAACTGCCTAAGGGGGAATCCATTATAGAGCCTATTACAAGGGGAACTGGGGGGCACAGAAGTGACCTGAAGGGTGGACAGCACAGACTACATCAAGAGGTATTTGTTCTGAGGGGTTGTTTTCTAATATTGGAGTGACGTACAGTATTTAGATATAAATGGGTTTGTTTTTGCTATGACAATGCAAGTCATTTACATTATTAATCAACAGCCAGCAATGCTGGGACAGGTGATGCAGCTGGTAAATGCATTTATATTTCAGTGCCTTTTATTTAACATGCTGTACTTTTCCATGCAGTACACATGCCTGGTATAGATTATGGAATTACTGTTACCTCCTCCGAATCTCAGGAAGCAGGTTCTGGGAGCTAGGGCTGTTTGGTAGCTGAGATCCTTAAGTGATGCTTTAGTGTTTGTGGAGGTATAGAACAAGGTTTTAGCATTTACAGGAAATGTCATTGCTCCATTTCAGATTTTCGAGGACAGTTTTGTCATCTTCATAGAATGAATAGGTAAGGAAGGTCTCCAGCATATTTAATACAGCCCTGAAATTTAGAGGCTGATAGGCAGTGATCGGGTTCATCATGGATTAGCTTCATTCATAGCATGTCAGATCACACTACTGGTTTGTCATCTTGTTGCAGGCTGGCAAGATTGGCTGCCCCTTATAGAGGATTCTGGTTAAGGAAGTTTTTGGACAGATGAAGTAGAGGCAAGGGCTGCAAGAAGGAGAGCGGATACCTTATGGCTATACAGATTTGATTTGTATGACTGGAAGTTTGTGAAGTTGTGGATATAAAAAGTTGTGTTCTAGACATCATTTACCATGACCTCTTTCCATTTTTTCATCATTACTGAGTTGGTGCCTACAGGTGGCAAGGGAAAGCTTCAGGTATGCTCTGGAACTGACAGATGTATGTTTAAGCAAATAAAAGTGTCCTTGGGACTAATGGATTAACAATCTGATTAAATTGGAAAAGAGGCTGTGGCAGAGCTAAGAAAATGCTCAGAGAATTATTGGGTAGATCCAGTAAGAGCTATCAAAGGTCCATTAGCTACTTGAATGTGGGAGCCAGGCTTACCCTGCTTGACTCTCAGTCTGGTAAACTCTGGCATCCATTCTTTCAAAACATCTGCAGCAAGGGAATATTCAACTCCTAGAGTGCTACCAGAAATCTGGGCTCCAGAAATCAGAATATAACAGAACCCATTTTCATCCCATTGATCAGTTACTGGAGCAGACAAAGAGCTGAGCTAACTTTATCTGCCTAGCTCGCAGGGGACATTAAAGACAAGGTCAATATCTGGATCTGTAGGCATTCAACTGTACTGAGGACCCACAAGAGAGGTCACGCTGGCAAATGATTCATAGCTGAGTCTATCTGCCTTCACTGTTGGCAGAAAGGGCATGCTGAGGGATTAGTTCATGCATCCTCTACAGTCATTGTGGGGCAAACCAGAAATACCTATTATTCTGGTTATTCACTTAGAGGGAAGTGATCTGGGGGCCTGCACTTGGGTACAATTCAGAGTCAGGATTAGGAGGAAAATGGCTGGATTAGGCAGTCATGGCTGAACACATGACTGGTTCAGTCAGAAATACTTATGAAGTCGTGCCGAGAGTGTACTATCAAGCCAGCCTATGATCTGACAATTAGATATAGCATATCTGTTACTTATATTATTTCATATGAAACTATCAACAGAATGATTTGTTTAAGTTGAATGAATATAACACATTTCTTCATTACATTTTGATCTGTTCATCAATATGGGCACATGTCCCAAAACATACTCTGAATATTGTCACTTTGAATGGCTTTTGTAACTAAATTTGATTCTTCATGTAACTGATTTTTAGAGAATCTGATCAGATTATGAGAACTAGCTTCATCATACAGTTTTACTGACTGGTCCCTCTCAGACTGAACCAGTAATGGCTCATTGAGTGTGAAATGAGAACGAGGAACAGTCTAAACAAAATTCATGGAAGTTCATGTCCCCTCGCAAATAATGTGCTTGGTATTGTAATGCAAAAGAATCCCTTGTACTACCCCAGTGACAAATTAAATGAAAAACCTCTTAAATTTACACAGGGGACTCATTTTATATATAAAGGTATTATATACATAAAAATGGAGATTTCAAGGCTTAATTGTGTTTGCAGAATATGTTTTTATGCAAAAAGTTGTTGTTGTTGGGGTGGGGGTTTTTTTGGAGGGGGGGAGGAGGGGGAGAAGCCACCTAAAAGCTATGCTTTCAATATGACCAACAGTAAAGATAGATATAACTAAAATGTAGTAATAGCTGCTTATGCATAATAGAAGAGTTAGGATAGCGAAAATTATACTGTTTTGGATGACACTAATAAACATCACCATTGCTAATGGGGACTTCTTTTCAGTTTTAGCTTAACAGAAAAAAGATCTAATACAATACTGCACACAGATTACCCTACCTTCAAATAAAAATAATTTAGAATTTATCTAACTTAACCTATTCCAAGAGATTAGTCAAAGCTATTACCATTTTCTAAATTAGAA